TTATAAAAGCGTTGTATATTAAAAAGTTTTTTTTATATTATTTATTTATAGGGGCTTTTCAAAGCTTTGCTTTATGGTGTCGGACACACAACATTGAAAGCTTCTGGAACACAACATTGAAAGTTTCTGGAACACAACATTGCAAGTTGATAAAAGCGTTGTAAAAATAAAGAAAAAGATCATCTAAGAACGGAATTTTTTTATACTAAGAGATTGATTAAAAAACTATATATGAAAATAACGGGTATAATATGATCGAAAAAATCAAAATCAAACCACAGGGACCAAAGTGGTATCGAAAAAATAGAAATAAAAAAAAACGATTAAATAAAAATCATAAATTAAATTGATCGTAAAACAGTAATGCAATGTTTACTGCTATGATTTTTATTTTGAATATATTAACCGTTACGTTCCTGTTCTTAAGCTCTTCTTCAATTATGTTAATTTTTGGAGCTCATAACCACATTGTGTGGACCGGTATATTAAAGCCAATACAGAAACAGAAGTTCAAAGGAACCTTCAGAATCGATTTTACAACCTGGCGCCAATAGTCAAAACTCCTACCGGAGCATGAAATAAATTTGTGATCGTTTTTATCTTACGTACATAAGATTGAAGCTACACTCAAGGCCCTCTCATTATTTGAGTTCAAGTCCTCCTTTGTTCTTGAGTGCATTGATAGGCTGAAGGTTCTGGCGGAGCACAATGATATCCAACTAATTTAGGTCCAGGTCAGATAGGAGTTGAGGGTGACGAGGAAGCAGACCATCTGACTAGAACGGCTTCCGCCTTGACTCCTATAGAGCCGAAGCAAAGCTTACTATCGAACCTAGGATAAACAAGGAAGTGTTCAGGAAGGGGAGAACAACACGGGAGTAACACCGTACTGGGAGACTACAAGTTTACAAGCTACTGGGCAATAATAAGAGGTTTTCTGACGGGGCACTGTGGACTAAAAGGCCACCCTTAAAAGCTAGAGATCAGGTCGAACGCCCTATGTCATTTCTATGAGTCTATCAAGGAGACGAGGGAAGTACCTAGGCCAAGTTTAGCCATGCGTTGAATTCATACAATCGCTATCCACTGAATATCTCTTCAAATATCTGGGATCTTTAGGGTTGGATGAGGTACTATGAATGGTTGAGGGCATAATAGATCTCTTGGTCGCAGTGTATACCTCTATATAAATTTATTTATTTATCTATGCATGTCACATGGATAAATACGAATTTTCAAAAGAGCACGACTCGAGCGTCATCGGGCGATCTTATTTTTTGGATATACATACATACATATATTAGCTCTAAACTGTTTACAACCTGAGCCAAAGTGTGTCATAAGTACAAAATCGTGAGTTGCATAAAAAGTCTCATGGAAATAGGCGCTTCCAATTTTTCCAAAATTTTTAAATTTCCAGCCAATTTTTCCAAAGTTTTTTTCTTATACGAAATTCATTAGTATTATATCCAACGAACTGTTTAAAACATTAGCCGAAAGCATTCAGTCGTTCTCAAGAGATAATCATACAAACATACAATATGAAATTTTTAATTAGTTATGTATGTATATACATTTAAGTTACCATTAGTTGATCATAAGACTCCTTAAAATTCATGTGAAACACTAAACATTAGATTCCTTCGTTAGAAGAGAAGTTAAGACCCCCGTTATTATGTGGAAATAAGTTTAAGGTTATAATTAATCTTAGCTAGTTTAGCATTCAAAGGGCAATTGTGTTTCTGTAATAATTACATACATAAAACCAAAGCAAATTACCCCTACTAACATCTTAAATTTAAATCTTAAGAAGTTTGCACATAGTTAAGATACGATTGAATTTTATACGCCGCTTAACTCATTAAAAGGCGAAAGCCAAATAGCAAAGTTAAAGAACCAAATTTCGTATGGATACTACAAGAGTTGCTATGTACACAAACCCATAATAAAAAGTTTCAACCTCAAGTATTTATTAAGAACATTCTTTAGTTCACTTAAGTCGAGGTCAGCTACGCAAAGCTACCTGACTTTAGTGATTACAAATTCAATTACCTAAACGTACACCATTAAGCACCTTAAAGTCTTTTTTGTTCAAATATTAAAGTCCAGCAACAACTTGGCGCGCCCAACATGCAGCCAATAGCTTAAATTAGCATTAAATTTTCAAAGATTCAACCACTTGATGCGCGTAGTTTTATTTTACGGTATTTTTGTGTAACGCCGGAGTGCTCTGCCAACACTCAAACACCAAAATGGTTAAGTATTTACATAAGTCTGTAAGTACCGGAGTACATATGTAAGAAGCTATGTACATACATACATAAGTAGCGCATCCAAACTCTTGGAGTATATTTTACAAACAATAAAATTTTAAAATCGTCATTTACATAAATACCTACATACATACACACATATTTACAGACTTTTCTAGCTGCCAAAGTTGAAAGTTTGTAAACCGCAATTTTGTTCACCAATTAAAAGTGACTCAGCCTAGGGCTTATGTTCTTAGTGGAGCAAGTTGCTTTTTTATGTTGTTGTTGTAACAGTTGTTTTTGTATTTGAAGTAACTTGCTACTTTTACGCTTATTTATTGATATTTACGTATGAATGTATGTACATCGATATGTATAAACAGTGCTCACCTTTAAACTCGTGCTTAACTGTTCAAAGTATTTTGCCGACACTGAACGTTTACGACGCCTTAATGTATGCACTTAATTACATTAAACATCGCGCGCGCTCCAACGATAGCGTTTTGCCAAACCGCTTAGCTGCTGTAACCTCACTCAGTGTCTACGGCATTTCCCTACCCTGCCTTTGTTTCTACATACAAATTAATTACTTAATCAGCAAACTCAGTAGTGATCAGAGTGATTGGGTTGCTAGGCAATCGGTTGCGGTTAGTGTGTGGGTGGGCAAATGTCACACATACATACATACCAACGTACGCTCAGTGGTTAGACGAGAGATTGAGTGCGTCGTACGAAATTCAATTAATTGTGCTCAAGTGCTGATGAATTATGAACATGAAGCACTTGATTTCATTTTATTTAATTTACCTGTATTTCGGGGGCTTGAATACGTCAACGATTGCTGTGACGCTGATACATTTCTCAGTTTAAATATATTCTCGAAATTATGTTGTCATATCGCAGATGCTACTTAATTTGATAATGCCCGCATACTTAGTGGCACTCACGCGTGAGTATAAACTAAGACTTTATGTACTATATATTTATTTGTTTTCTGTCTGTAATTGAAAGAAATTTTAGAATTCGAGTTCATTGCGTTGGACCCGAAACTCTTATTAGTGTCTGCGGTTATACCCAGTAGAGAAGCTGCTGAATGCTAAATAATTTGTAGTTATGACAGTAGACATTTCGACGAGATTTTTCATTACGTGGGAAAAGAACTGTAACAATTTTTCTGTTAATAATGCTAATATTTTGGCGCCTATACTTTTGCTAGGTGTTTGGCTGAACTTCTCCTCCAGTTTGTGGTGAGCCTCCCCTGATGTAATAATACAAATGGAGGGGCCTACACTTTTACACAGGCTCCGAATGGCAAATGGTTTTAATGAGAAGCTTTTTCAAGGCAGAAACCCACGCGGAAGTTTTGACATTGCCCACCGGCGGGCGACCACTGTTAGAAAAAACTTTTTCAAATTTCAGAGATCGAACCCAGGTCCTACGCAGTGGTTGTACGCACCTCTAAATATATTTTCTGCTATCCGGAGCCTATTTAGGTGCGGGCAGCTACCAACTCTTTCATCTTCTCTCTTTTCTTTGTTCTCTCTTTCCTTTTCTCCTTCTCACGTTTATGGGGGAAAAAGGTATGTATATTGTTTTGTATGTGGAACAAAAAGTGGTATCTTTAAAATTTCCCACTTTACGAAGCTCAGCTGAGTATAAAATTTTGCTTTTACAAAAAATTATTTGGTGAACTAATTTGGCCACTCCGTTGATGACCTTTTACCCGTGTTATTGAGATATGCATAAAAGCGTAGACAGACGTGGTATCGAGTCCCAGTATAATTTTCACTCAATTTATTTTTTTATTCATTCAGTTATAATTTCTATATTTTTTATGTTGTTTTTAGTTGGTTCTTGTTGACTTTTTTGATAAAATTAGACGCTAAAAATTTAGAGTAATTAATAATAAAATAAATAATGTGAAAATAAAATAAAACAAAATAAAGCAAAACAAAATATACAAATAAAAAAATAAAAAATAAAAAAATAAAATAAATTTTAGCAATCGCTCGAACCAAGGAACCAGCTCTCACCACTCGGCTACCGCTAACTTGAGAAATAGACAAAAGCTCGTATAATATTATCACTAGATCTAAACAAGTTCAGATTATTCCGCTTTGAGGGAAATTTAACAGCATGCACAGTTTTTACCTGCTGGGATATGTATATGTACGTAGCACTAAAATTGTATTTTACACAAACACGCATATGAGTTGCAGTTGTACAATACATATTATGTACTTGGAAATTCTTCCCACAAGATTTGACAAAATATGCAACAGCGTCCTTACGAAACACCGCAACCACCTGTGCATTGCGTGTAATTCCTCATTTTATGAAACAGCCATAAGAAAACGTATCGGACAGTACTTACATATATGCCGCATGTTTTCGGTCCATCATTCAGAGTGTGTAGTAAAGTCAATGGTGACGCAAATTATAAATATATGTATGTACATATTTTTCCACTTCAAAACTTCTCTAACCCTTGCAATGCAGAAAGGACATGTGCGACCCACGCCCATATGAGGCATAAATTAAATCAAGAAAAGGTTAGAGACCGACAGATTTTTATGTTAATGACGGCAAGTGGTAAGACCAAGTTTGCAAGAAAGAAACAACGA